CTATACATATGAACTGAACTGAACTGAACTCGTATATTTTAGATTAGTTCTGAATTTAGGGGGGAGGAATGCTATGTTGGGCATGCCAGCCCGCGGTATCTGTCGCATATGCGCCCGCATGCCACGTGCACACCTTGTAGATTTGAGAACTGCCATGTTGAACATATAGACGTTGAGTTTGTATTGAGTTTTAGTTTTTTGTTTGACTTAATCCATGAAATGCAACACTTTAAATTGCAATCAATGGAAGTTACTGTTGAATTGATTTACCTGCTGTAAATAAAACATGTTAAAGTTCACATTGCGAATCATATTTTAAGTTCATGAGCTCTTGGAAGGTCTCACAGAACTCAAAACTGGTTAAGATTTGATTAAAAATCTGTAAAGTTCTTTCCAAGAGTTTTGTTAACCTTCTCTCCAATTTTACATCTTTCAAGCATCGCTTATAAACTCCATCTTACCAATCCAACCACACCATCACAGAAAGGTAGTGGATTGATGGAATGCTACTTTTTATTTCAACTTATTTTCACCATAAAATGGAATATGTTTACATGTAAACACCAAAGCTGTATCTCCTTTTTGCATCAACGGTTGCATCAACAGTTCCAAGACAGTATATGATCCACTGGTGCAAATCCCTTACAGGCTTCAATTGTTTTGTAGTGTTCTTTTCTGTGAAGATTGCTTTCATATACATTTCCTTATACCACAGTACACATATATGATTTTCATAAATTCAAATTCATTGACTCATCACTTCACCGGTAAAATATGAACCAACGCAATGACTTGTCAATTGGCTTGTCATCTCAGTTAGTAGAGCACTGCACGGGTATTGTAGAGGTCAGAGGTTCAAATCCTGTACAAGCCTGGGATTTTTTCAGGCTTTATTTTTACTACTATACAAGTAGTGTTCATCAACTGCGAGGATTGCTTTCATAAACATTTCTTCATACTGCAGTACACATGATTTTCATATCAAATTCATTGACTCATCACTTCATGGGTTTAATACAAGCCCACAAAATGACCAGGCCCCAATTGGCCTATTAGCCTTACTTTCACGACTACATATTAAGTTCAGGGTTGGTACAAAGTCTTGAATTCTTGTAAAAGTCTGGTTTTGACAGTTAGAAAGTAGTCGTTAATCATTGTAGCTTACATGAATTGACAAATAAGTGCATCCCAAGAATACTTGCGCGCATACGAAAACCATGTGCTTTGGCAAATTTTTAGATTTTCGTGTTACAGGTTCTTATGCATGTTTTTTCGTCGGTCTTTGTGCTTTAGAAATAGATCTTTTCATGGATTGTTAGCCTTAGAACATCTGCAGCCTCGTAGCTGCACAAAGGTATGGTTCGTTAGTTTATTTTTGTCATTTATTAGCGATTTCATGGTCATACAGTTGTTGTAAGCGTTGCCGATCGCTTTCAGTTACATTAGACTTTTCTTTATTCGTTTCTTTAGTTTTAAGGTTCAGTTCTTATGGAATATTTCTGCTCAGAAAACATTCAAGAATCTGTAAAACTGTCACCTATTAACCTGTGGTTTTTTATTCCGACTTTGGATTACCGATTTTGCAACACGCGAACGGTTACAATCATAAAATGACTTTTTCCTCGTAGCCTTTTCAGCCGCAAGTAGTTCTCCTATTGTCAACACCATATAGTTGTGATTTAAGTGTTAGACGATTAGACTCAAATGTATGGAATCTCTTTGACTCATTGTTGATACACTTCAGCACGGAAGTCGAGTCACTCCAATAAGAAATGCGGTCTATTGTCATGTCTAACTCTTCTTGAATAATCTTAGAGAGCCTTACGGAGATGACAGCGGCTGTCAGCTCCAATCTTGGAATGGAAATCTCACATATGGGAGCCAATCTTGCCTTTCCCATTACAAATGCACAGTGAACTTGGTTGGTCACATCTTTCAAACGGAGGTATGCAACGGCTGCATATCCTTGACGAGAAGCATCCGAGAAGAGGTGCAACTGTACCTCTTTAACTTCACCAAATTCCTTAGGTTTCAAACAGCGGTCTACCTGTATTTGTTGCAATTTTGGGAGATCATCCAGCCAGCGCTTCCATTGCTCTTTGTCGGTTTCTTCTAACATATCATCCCAACCCAGCCTCTTTCTACTGAGCGTTTGCAACAACAACTTGGCTTTCATGGCATATGGTGCAATGAATCCCAGTGGATCAAAGAGGGAGTAAACAGCTGACACAATTCCTCTGCGTGTGACTGGTTTCTTACTCACTCACTGCAACATCTTCTCCATTACTTCCCATACAAACTTGTCTTCTTCTATGTTTCATTTTAGTCCGAGAGCGCTCTCTGTCGGGAGTTGCTCGAGTTCTAAATTTGCCTCTGATTTGGCTCTTTCGGACTCTGGTATTGTCGCCATCACTTCTCGGTCGTTACTATACCACTTCGTCAAGCGGAATCCACCTTTCTCTGGCAACGTCCGCAGCTGACTTGCTAAACTGATTGCCTTCCCTGTGGTACTTGATAGTGTGCAAATCCATTTACATATGATCAAATGCGCCTATCTAAACCATTTCTTGATGTTATATAGAAAGGTAGCATATTCTTCTCGATTATTTTAAGGCCTTGAGTATGGGTCCGGGCGGGGCTCGAACCATCAACCTCCCGAACAACAGTCCAGCGCTGTATCCATTGACCTAACTGGGACACGAGTGAGGTCCAAAGCAAGTGAGGTCCAACAATGGCCCACAGTATGACAGCGCAGAATTCTAACACTGCAAAAGAGTGGGGATTTAAACACATACCCAGTAGTTGTTTTTGAGAGTTATAACCAGTCATCCAAGATTTCCACAGTCCAATGGAGAAGTCGAGCGTGGAGTTTGAACAGTCAAGAATCTCCTCCAAAAAGTGGAAGACCCTGCCAAAAGACTACTTGCCTACCTATCAATGTCACTGGCCTGTTAATTCTCTCCAGCCCAGCTGTTGATGGGATGAAAGTTAAGGAATAGCGCGCTGATGTTCCATACTGAGTTCAACCAGCACTGGCTGGACCTACAGCAGCTTCATGCACGAGAAAGTGAGAGCAAGTTGAAGCAACAATCAAACTTCAACTTAAGGCACAAGGCCACACCTTTGACACCAATAGAACCTGGCACTGAAGTACACGTCAAAGACCTTGACTGACTGGGTGTGGTAGTGAAAGCAGCAGAAACTCCTTGTTCTTATGAGGTTAAAACACCCATCAGCACCGTGCGAAGGAATCACGTGCACCTCACACCAATGCCAGGAACTGAGAGAAAATGATCTGGTACCAGTTGAAGATTGCAGCGCTTGTTCAAGCCAATCAGTCCGAACGTAAAATGAACTCAAAGGCAGCACCAGCTACACCTTTGCAAGGAAATACCGTATTTTATCAGCTATAAGCCGAGCCTGGCTATAAGCCAAGACCCTAAACTTTTAACTCTTAACTTAATACAATCGTCTTCAAACATAAACACAAAACATTCAGCTATAAGCCGAGACCCAGTTCTTAAAACATATGAGAGCTCATCAAAAATTTTAATCACATTTAGGTTTTAAAAGCTGTTAAAATGAAATGAAAGAACAGGTTAATTATCCAACAGCACGGGCAATTCCCTTGAAAATCAAGGTGTCATGAATATTTAACGAAAGCTAGGCTTACCTCTCGGGAAACAACTGTATCAATATTGTTACCTACTCAATACAATGGCTAAGAATAACAACAAATCACAGTTAGTAAGCTGAATTTAATGTGATCCGATGAAATGAATAAAATTGAATTCACGGCTTGATCATATAAACATTACGAGTTCAGAGACCTGTCTTTAACAATCCTGTGTCAATAGTCATTCATTCTCACTCCATTATCATGCCAAAAGCCCGTCGTACAAATCATACAATCTAGCGTTCAAACTTAAAATAGTCGCCGAAGCAGAAGCCGTCAAGAAAAACTCTGGGATCGCAAGGGAATACGGCATCAGTGAGTCAATGGTTCGTCACTGCAGAAAAGACCAAGAAATAAAACTGTCCGCAAAACGTAAAACGATGGGCCGTTTTACACCAAAGTATCTCAACAAAGATCAAAGACTGCTGGAATGGTTTTCCGAGCAGAGAAGTCAAGGTTAGAATCATGTGACAGGTTTGTTTACACATCCGCGGGAACAGAACATTCTAATTGGTCAGTTTTTGATAGTTGTCAAAACATTAGTATCATTGCTTATCTGTTCTATCTTTCCTTCATTTTAAGAATTGCTGTCGGTGTACTAATGTTGCACTTTAAGGCGAAAGAATTCTGCAATGATTCTGCATTCAAAGTATCTGTAGGCTGGTACATAAACTGGAAGCGGCACCATTCCATCACTCTCCGAACGAAGACCACCCTCGCCCAACGTCTGTCAAACGAACTCGAAGAGCAAACAGTAAAATTCCACCAGTTCATGATTGCAGCTCGTTAGCGCCGTGGATACCCTTTGTCCAGAATCTTCAATATGGATGAGACACAAATACGGTTTGAGATGCCATTCAGCCATACTCTGGAATTCAGTGGCAGCCGAACAGTTCCCGTGAAATCCTGTGACGCAGAGAAGAGAAGCTTCACAGTCACGTTGGCAGTCGCTGCTGATGGCAAAAAGCTGCCACCTAAAGTTATCCTCAAAGGCGTACAAGCGTACAAACCCCGAGAGACCTGGTTGTTCCGGACTCAAATAGTGTTTGATTCCATAAAAAGGATGGATGGATGAAACTGGTAAGTTAACAGTTTTGTGTTGTTCATATGCACTCTTTTTTTCTGTGCTCTTTACTCATGGTTAAAGCCACATGCTTTATTGAAGTCTTTAATTAAAGTGAGGTCTAATTGATTGTTGTAGTCTTTCTTTCATTATAGGCGTGAAGGAGTGGATTCGTACCTGCATGCCAATAAACCCCACTGGTGCGCGATCACTGTTGGTTTGGTACTCCTTTCATGCTCATCTTACCGAGTCAGTGAAAGAAGCACTGCAGCGGGGAAGTACTGATGTAGCTATTATTCCCGGTGGCCTAACTCCAGCTCTCCAGCCCTAAGACAAGTGTCTAAATAAGCCCTTCAAGGAGAATATGAGAAGAAAGTACCTGTCATGGATGGTAACTGGCCCCTTCGAGTTTACTCCTGCTGGGAAAAAGAAAGCGCCTTCAAGAAACCTAGTTCTACGTTGGATAAAGCAGTCTTGGAGGGAGATCCCGGAGGAGATGGTGAGGAAATCATTTCTTACTTGCGGCATCTCCAATGCGCTTGACGGCACCGAGGATGACGCCATCTATGAAGAGGAGCAAGACAATGACGCCGAAGAAGATGAGATGGATGAAGAATTTGATACGGAAAGCGAAGATGAGCCATAAGCTGACATCCTCGAACGTGCAGTTCACGACAGAAAACAAACGGCTCCTTTAGGAGCCACCACATATTAAAAGTTAATGACCAATAACTCTTGCTTTTTTGTCCATGTGTTTTGCTCGGCTTGTATGCGAATATATGCGTATTTATCTT